GATAATATTAATATTTATTTATCATATATTTTCATAGGATCTGCAAACAAACAGTGAAATTCATAACATTTTAAGTCTAGTGCTGGCATTTGGAAATCACATGAATGGTGGTAATTTGTCACGTGGACAAGCAGATGGGTTTGAATTAGAAATCCTAACGAAACTGAAGGATGTCAAGTCTAAAGATCACACCATCACTTTGCTCCATTATCTTGTGCAAGTATACTTGACCATGTTTGACAAGGTGAGAAGGATAGATGCTTATTAATTACATCGTAAGCCAGAAGTGTATTGAAAAAAAAACAGAATACAAAGGAATGAAATGTGCCCATAATTCTAGTCACCTAAAAAGGATTATAACTGGTATAAAAAAATGTGTAATTTTTTTTTGTTTCATTGCAGAATGCTGGTACATTAATGTCGAAGTTCCCTCTTCCAGAGCCAACAGATCTACAAACAGCATCTCAACTTAACTTTGATGATCTAACAGCTGATCTCAAAGGTTTAGAAAGCAAGCTTGATGGATGTGAGGTAAAAGTTGGAAAAGTACTTAACCAATCAGAGCCTCACCTGCGGCAACCATTTGAAAAAACAATGAAAATGTTCCTGGAACAAAGCAGAAATGACCTGAAGGAACAGTTCCAAGTTCTTGAAGAGTGTAAGAAAAAGTGAGTATGAAATTCAGAAATGTGTATCTGTTGGAAACAGCTCTATATGTCTTAATAGAAAAAGTTGCATTGAATAATATTAGGCCTGATATAACACACTCACTATTCAAAAATGACTTTTATACCAACTTTGAATGTAGTAAATTTTGCTTGGGATTTCTGATTTTTTTTTTCATTGTTTTGTTTTGTTTTTGTTTTGTTTTGGTTGGTTTTGGTTAGTTTTGGATGGTTTTGGTTGGTTTTTAGTTTTGTTTCACTATAATTGTCTATCAATATTTCTTTCTATATTTTTCTATATTTTCCAAGGTTTGCACTTATCCTGGAATTTTTCTACCAAAGATCTGTGTCTCTTTCACCACAAGACTTCTTTGACATGTGGACAAAGTTCAGTCTTGAATTTAAAGTGTTATGGAAGAAGAGACAACAATTCCTTGCAAAACAAATGTATGAGAAGACACAAAAGAGGGTCAGGATTTCAAAGAAGCCAATTTCACTAACAGGCTTAAAGCTAAAATTGGCAGCATCCACCAAGAAAACTTCTAGTAAAAAATGACTAATAAATAATTATTATTTTAATTAAAATAAAGAGTATTGTTAATAATATCATATTTAGATTGCATTAGATGGAGAGTGATTGCTGCTCTTCATTTCGCTAGCTGAATAAAATAGAATATTAATAAGAGTGAATATATTTATAATGCTCATGACTGCATGACTAGTCTCAGTGATAAAAAGATGTCACATGGTTAGAAATCATGTGCTGTACTTTGAAAGTCCAGGGGACTATTGTAATAATTATTAATAATTAGTAAATTATTTATAAATGAAAAAGATTATTAGAAATTATTCTATTTTTTTGGTTTATGTATATACCTAATTGAATGCTAACTAAAATGTGATCATGCTCATCCTTTGCTTTCTCTTGTCTGGTTCAACACTGTTTAGCTCTAATAATGGAATACATAGGGTCTCTTATTTATATTACATATCAAAGACAAATCTAATTTATTATTTATCTATTAATATTATAATCACAATGATTAACTCAATGCTTTCATAAAGATGACAAATACCAGTAGTTTTAATTTTTCGTTTTGGGAAAAATGGTGTTTTTGTTTTGAAAGAAAAGTTTACTATTGGAAATGTAGGCTCAGTGTCAGTACTTCAAAAAACCAACTTAATAATATCAAATTGACAAAATAAGAGAATTAAGTTTTGAAATCTAAAAAAATTACAAAAGTACACTTTTGGATTAAAATCCATAGAAATTATTAGGAATGAAATAGTGCTAAACATTGATTGAGTGATTTGTCTATAGTAGTAGTTGCTTAATTATGTTATAAATTCATTATTTTTATTGATGAATGATTTGATATATTATTTATATATTTTTTATCTTTAAAATTTATTTATTCTTCTATTTAATGTGTTAGGTTAACAAATAAATAGTAAGTGTACTCTAGTGACCAAATATATAATATTACTGAAAATAATTGAATAAACTTCTAATGAGCATGAAGATTAAGTTTTTGCCTAAATATGATATCAAAGTCATGAGTATCCTTTATGAAGATATGTAATTTCATTGAACACGTGCAAAGATTTGAGTGACGTCTTTTCAAGGCCCGGGGAGGGGGGGGGAGGGGTTTCCTTTGTATATGGGGTGTAGGTGATTGTTAGAAATTTTAAAAAATACCCCTAAAAGACGGATACCAGGCTCTTACAGGGCCAACTAAAATTGGCAAATTCATATTTTTAGGCACTTTTAACAAGGGTCAATAGTAGGTAAGCATTAAACTCACTTAGAATGTGATCGAGCTGGTATGTAACTTGTTCTTGAACCCTTAGGGAATTTTCCTTTTTTAGATTTAATTTGCTCAAAAATTATGAGAGGCCATTTAACTGTGATCAATTATTTCTGAAAAATGAAAAAAAATATGTACAAAAAGGATATTTTTTCCCTATCGAAGCCGGATGCCATGTAGAAGCTCTGCAGGATATTTTCCGCTTCTTTAAAAACATTTATGTTTTCAGCCCGCACAGAAAACCAATTTATTTTTGAAATCCTCTTCAACGTCCCTTATAAGGAATCCAAATCTTCCACCTTGGGTCATAAAAAAAACTAGATTTTGACGGTATTAGAATACAGAACATCTTAGATGTATTCCAGGTACGTGACTGACACTTAGCAGCCTCATTCTAGTGAATTCTTTCTGTTCTTTTTTATTAAATATGTAATGCAGCTAACTTACTTTCGAGTACATCATTGTATTTTTAATTTGATGTTAATGCAGTCCCAGTAAAATGCTACTTCGAGGCACAAATCGTATTTTACCACCAAATCAGTGAAATTCCGATCAGCTGGAAAGCCACTTGCGTCCACATGCACCATTCCCGGGAAAATTCATAACTCTTCACGTGGTCACTTTGGGCCTATCAGCGTTCGTCCCATCAGTGCACCTTGAACGCATGGGGATGAAATTTGTACACGAGCACGAGAAAGTAACAAAATGGCAAACTTGCTCGATATAAAACGCGTCTTACTTTGCGATAACGTGAATCCTTGCTGTAAAGAAATACTAGAAGCTAATGGAATCACCGCAGATGTAAAAAACAAGTTAACGAAAGAAGAATTACTTGTGGAAATTCAGGTACAGTTTTGTAAGCTTAATTTCACTGTACGTGGACTTTTGCATATTCATCGCAACTTCTTCACTGCAATAACTTTTCTTGATGTTAGAATTATGACGGTCTTGTGGTCCGTTCGGCGACTAAAGTCACTGAAGATGTCATTAAAGCTGGCAAGAGGTTGAAGATAGTTGGTCGAGCCGGTACAGGAGTTGATAACATCGACTCAACAAGTGCAGCTTTAAACGGCGTTCTGGTGATGAAGTAAGAATTTTATTCAAAAATAAATATTCTGTTTAAACTAAAAATAGGGAAAGGGGACCCTAAAGAAATATCTACTGTCTACGGTCGATATTAGTTTCGATCCGTCATCTTATCAAGGGATCATACCGTTTACCTCAAATTTCTTTTTGGGCATACTTGATGTGTCAAGGAAATCATCAACCCTCCCCCCTTCAACCCAAGGACCCTTTCTCCCCCTCCCATTCTTGTCATACGTAAGTGAATCGAGGGCACAGGTGATAAAAGCAAAATACGTCTTTTAGAATATAGAAGATATTAGTAGATGCAATATTAGGAAAATATAAAATGTAATTTATATGAGTAATAATTATAATTGAATTTATTGTGATTTTAGTACACCAATGGGGAATACACTTAGTGCTGCAGAGCACACTTGTGCTTTAATTTGTTGTTTATCCAGGTAAGAATTCTTCCTAGTTATGACCTTAGCTGGATTATATGCACGCACTAAGCATTGAGGCAATTGAAATCAAACAAAAGCGCTTTTTAAAAAAGGTGCATTCAGAATTAAGGCACTCAGTTAGCTAGAGCAGAATTATAGGATATGGTATGGCACATTTCAAATCTCATATGATACAAATTTTCTGCTCTTTGGCATCTTATTTTTGACTCGTGGTTGATAGTGAAAAGACCTAAGAACTTTAACCAAGTATACTAAGTCTTGTAATAATAGTCTTCCATTGGTCAATTGTCCAGATAACTGACAACTGTAATTTAATCTTTTTTTTTTATTATTCAGACATGTAGCACAGTCAGTTGCTTCACTGAAGGAAGGAAAGTGGGATAGAAAAAAGGTTGGTTTTCCTTGACAATTGTTAGTAGTATTTCTAACTTCATACAGTTAGTACATGGTAGCTTGCATAACTATGGGTGACTAATTATTGTAAGTTGTGACCTTATTTTAGTATATGGGCAATGAGCTGTTCAATAAGACCCTGGGAATCATTGGACTTGGAAGAATTGGGAGAGAAGTTGCACTAAGGATGCAGTCATTTGGAATGAAGGTATACTATAAACCAACAACCACAATAGAGCACTCATATCTTGTGAGAAATATAGATTGAAATATGTGGGGAAATTATTGACTTAAGATGACACAAAAAGCTTTGTAATGTAATATAATATTAGGTAGCATGTTTTAGCTAAGTTGATGTAATTTCCCGGATGATTATGTAATTATGTATGTGCAATCATGCATGTAATTTTACTCCATGTGCTTTTTCGATATGTAATAAACAGAGCGACTGTGTGAACCGACTCTAGTGTCAACTTGATACTTAATAAATAACGGATTCAACAGTTGATGCAAATGAAAGATTATAATAAAGGTTACTTGGCCATCCTTTAACGTGTATAATACTGGTATTATTTATCACAACTTCGTTTTTTCAGACGATTGGATATGATCCTTTGGTATCAGCACAGGAGGCTAAAGAGTTCAACACTGAATGGATGGAGCCAAGTGAAATATGGCCAAAGGCAGACTATATTACTGTTCATGTTCCACTTATTCCTCCCACTAAAGGTGAAATATTTAGCTATAGGTGGGATAGGTTGATGGAATATAGGGTGCCCTAAAAGTCGTGACATGGTTATTTTTGGATCAATTTTCAAATCAAATAGACCTTTCAAGTTTATTTCCAGGCTTCTAGCTTGTGCTTTACTTCTGACTGAAACAATCTGAGGCTTGATTGAAGCTTGGGCTCCACTTTCAACTGAAATAACAACAAATAATGTATACAGAATTAAAAATTGTCTCCAGTTTTAATTGTCATCCTTGAAACATTACTATAACAAGATGTTAGGCATATGATGTACATGTAAGAATAAGAACTGGCAGTGGTTGAAACGTGATTGTAATACAGGCATGCTGAATAACAAAACAATAGCAGAGTGCAAGAAAGGTGTATATCTACTGAATGTTGCAAGAGGGGGGATTATTGATGAGGATGCTCTACTAAGAGGTCTCGAGTCAGGTCATGTTGGAGGTGCTGGTCTTGATGTTTTTGTTACTGAACCACCAACAGGTTTGTACCTTCATTACAATTGCCATGAATTAGACAGTGTGCAGCATGTAATTATTGTAAAATCATGGTTCTTTTAGGCACTTCTGCTCTTCTTGCACAACATCCAAAAGTTGTAGGGACTCCACATTTGGGTGCCAACACTGTGGAAGCCCAAAAGAGAGTCGCAAAGGAGATTGCTGAACAGTTCGTAGATGCTGCTCAAGGGAAAAGGCTCAATGGCATTGTAAGTTCTTAGTTTTATCTCCTACATTTGTTACATTGGGATTCCCCAGCTGAATATTAATTGCCTGAACTTGTACTCGAAATTTCAGCAAAAATATATGTTACATATATATCTTATATATCAGAGTTTGCTGAAGAAGGGCGAATGCCCGAAACGTTCAATAAAGAGTGGAAACCCTGTTACAAGTTGTGTGGCCTTTTCTTCAATTTATTCTATTTATCTTATATATCATCTATAGTTACTTGGTGCCCTGACACCCCTGATTAGACATCAAGACAGTTCAGTGTCAAGATTTTCTGGGCAAGTGCACTGCAGAAAAAGTTCTGAGAACACTGCCTTGCAGCCAGCGATGGGGTTTTATTTGCAGAATGGCAACGTAATTACAAAAAGTACAAATTTATTTATGGCAAATTCAATATCTCTTTTAAGGTCAATGTACCATTTGATTTATGTGAAGCTCTCAAACCTTCATCTCTGGTGTCCCTTGGTGAAGGTCTGGGTAAAGTTGCTGCAGCACTTGTTGGAGGCAATGTCACAAAGATAAATGTCACATCTCACGGACAAGAGTTGAAATCTCACCGCTACCTTGCAGCAGCTGTGTGTATGGGAGTAATGTCAAACACTGGTATGAACCTTATTAATGCTATGGGACTTGCCAAAGCTGCAGGGATTGAGGTAGTTATGTTTGTTATTTTAATTATGTGCAATCACTCAACTTTAACCAATTCCTTTATTATTTTAGAGATTTGTTTGGTTTATATTAATATTAAGTTTTTTATCTCAATATTTTTTTAATACATAGGTAAAAACAAGCCATGATAATGAGGCAACAGGACAGTATCCTACAGGCTTGTCAGTCAGCATYCAAGGCAAGAAYGGTGGAGCTAACATCACTGGCAGTACTATTGGCCAAAAYCTCCCCATCTTGTTTAAATACAACAACCTCACRTTTAGCAGTCCTGTAMCTCTTACCAACAAACTRTTATTAATTTGTCGCAAATCCAATGCAATGGAACTGTTGYCTAATCTTTTACCTAAAATTGATTCCAAAAGYGTTGAGGGTTTTGTAACRGCCAGTAACGGGCAAGATAGCATTTGTATTCTGAGTGCTTGTTCTCAAGTGAGCCCTGAAATAGACTCTGAATTTGTTGGTGTTAGAGTGTGAGTAGGTATTAACAGTACACTACCATCAATAATATATGAATTATATGAACTTTATGCAACAACCAATGTATGCAAAGAGATTTTAGAAAGTCACACAACTTAGAGATATGAGTACTGCTTATCTGTAATTAAGAAATAGCTTAATTCATTTTCATTTCTGGTGAATCACTCAATAAAGGCTTTGAAAGGATTAAAGTTTATTTAAAGCTACTCCCCAATGCATGGCACAATATTGTATTTGTAGTTTTGCTCTGGAATGAAGCCGCAAAAGATAAAAAAATGTTAGATTTTTCCATTCAACTGGCCTGAGTATTGGGCTCTCTCGAAGGGTATTTTTGGATTGACAGAGTAGAAAGAGGCTCTCTCCATCATGTTACTCTGCCCCAATTCCAGAGAGTTGCAAATACTTGGGATTATACCATCCAACATTCACTACCATGATGATGGCTTGCAACACAAATGTGTGAAAAATTTTCAGGATTGCTTGGCAATGATGACTGTAACTTTATTTTTGGCAACAAGAAAATATATTAAGATCTACTCTGTCTACCGTTTCATTAAATTAAAAAGCTTCATTTCTGCTTAGTTGACCAACCACCGGACCCTTTTAGTTATTCAAAAGATATTGTAGAAACAATAGACTTGATACCTGTGCTTAAAAGACCGTATCATCAAGGGGCGTACCCATTGTTTCGACTTAAAGGGAATATCGTCTTTGTTGCGATAAGTAAAATGTACAGCTCTCCATCCGTAGAAGTCAAGTTTCGAATCTTTCTTTCCATAGCGTTGCGTGACATGAGTGTTCTAAATTATGTTAATGTATGCAAAGGACAAAGAACGCCTGCTGATTTTGTTTGCGAATTGGAAAAAGAGCAGCAGAGAGGACTTACATTTCATCTTGTCATATGACTTGGAAGAGTTTTATGTTTATGGCTGCTTTCCGGCCTTGAGTTCATAAACATGTAAAGGAAATTGAAGAACTTTCCTGTTAGACAATTTTTGCAGCAATTACCATTAAATTTAGGCACTTCGTTGGAGTGTTGTTGTTCTGATGGCGACCGCGAGCAACCACAATGGCGACCTGGATGAAGTATCTTCGGTGGATGTCGTGATAGTTGGAGCAGGAATTTCTGGTCTTTGTGCGGCTTATAGCATCCTGAAAACAGAGAAATACCATTCTATTGTAGTTCTGGAAGCTAAAGGTACATTAATATTTAAACAATAGTAAGATTTAACTTTTTAAAGACTTGATAATGACGTCGATTACCTTGGGAAAGGTTATGCAAGCCAAGGTCGAATCCTGCATCCATATACTGCACCATGAAGCATTTAGTCTGAGCATCAAGGCCAGAATTTTAGTTAGCAGCATTAGAGCCGAGTTTATTTTATTATATACAAAAAAAAATTTCAGCAATTCAAATTTTAAAATTTTGAAATTTAAAATTAATAAATAAGTTAACTTAATCTTACATTTAACATAAATTACTTAAATTTTTCATGTCCAACTCCAAATGTTGTTTGAAATAAAAATGATATTTGCAATAAGGTCATATAAAATGTGACAATATTGTGCCTAATTGTCAATTAAAATTCCAAGGTAGCGGGGGAAGGGCAAAGGTGATAAAATTTAAAAAAATCACCCACATCACAAAAAAATATAAAGTGGCAAGAACATGTTGCAAGGGTTGACATTGATGTTTGCATTTGTATACTCTTGTTATTATGACATTTCACACTTAATATAGAACAACTCACATGTAACTTATAGATCGTGTCGGCGGGCGCCTGGACTCTATTAAACTTAAAACTACTCATGGGGAAGACGCATGGGATGTTGGTGGACAATGGATTGGAAGGTAAGATAGTTTGAATTTTTATCAGTTAAACGTTATAGCATATGTAATTATCTTTCATGTTTTTTTTAAGGGAGCAAAAAGACATTGTAGAATTATTAGAAGAACTGAAGATAGAAACCTATAAGCAATGGTATGATGGCAAGAAAATCATACAACTCAGTGATGGGAAGTTGAAAACATACTCTGGTAGCTATCCATCTCTCTCATATTTATCACTGATAGACACATACTATTTGAACTGCAAAGTAAGCCATCCAATTATTTGAAAATTTATATTAATTTTTCAAATTGACAGCTGATTAATATGATTTTGTTTTTAGATAGAAAATTTGTGCAATTTAGTTCCACTAGATGATCCCAATAAATGTATTTATGCTGAAGAGTGGGATGGAATGACTGTTGAATCCTGGGTTAAACAGCAAGCTTGGACACAAGGTAAGTGAATTAAATTGTAGAATTTTCTTGTATTCAACTCTACAGTCTTCCATCCCTCACTTTCGTTCTTTTATTTGTGTAATTTCATCTTCTTTTCTTATGATCTTATCTAATGTTACCTGACTTAATTATATATGTTCATACTAATTTATATGTATGTATAAATGCTATACCCAGATCCTTCTAAGCTTTTCACCAATGGAAAGCTGGGGCTCTGGTTCACAAAACTGGAGGACTGAGAATCTGGAGTTGAATAGTAGACGCATGCAGATAGTACATGGGAAAAACTGAGAAGGGAATGGGAACAAGGCTGAAGTACATAAGAATGATCATAGATTATTATAACTAATAATAAATTTTGCACTTACAGGAACAGTTGAAATGATAGAAATTGCCGTAGGATGTATATTTGGAGTGACAACAGCACAGATGTCTCTATTGTTCTTCTTACATTATCTTCAGACTTGTGGTGGCTGGGAAAATCTGGTTGAATCCGGGAAAGAGGGTGGAGCACAAGAATTCAGAGTCAAAGTAAATTATGTTTGTTATAAAGTTAAAGGCTGATTGGTTTAAGTTACTAAACGGAACATTGAGTTTTTCTTGTTCATGCAAAATTCAAAAACATATGTCAGAAGCATTGTATTTGTTATAAATTAATAATTTTAATAATGCTTTATTAAAAAAACTTTGCATTGTTACCAGGGAACTGCACACAATGTAACTAAAGTTTTGGCAGAGAGAATTGGGTGGAATAAGATCCTTCTCAGGCAACCTGTAGTCTCAATAAGACAGGTAACATATATTAGGTATTTTAATTCATTTTATACTCACTGACAGTTTTCCAATTATTAATTTCTGCTTTACATTTTACTTCAGACTTCTGAAAGTATTGTTGTTTGTACAAAAAATGGTTTGAGATTTGTTGCAAAGTTTGCCATTATTGCAATCCCCCCACGATTAACAGGTAATGACTATATGCAGTTACATGTAAGTATGCCAATACCCTGACATAAAGTCAAACAGCATACACAAAAAAGATCATACATAATATCATGCATAATTAAACTAATAATTAACTAAGCAGCAAAATAGAATTTTTAATTCTCATATTTATCCATTGTAGGCAAGATTGATTTTATGCCGAGATTGCCATATGACAAGCAGCACACCATTGAAAATATGATTCCTTCTCATCTGACCAAGTTTATTGTAAGCTATCCTTCTGCGTTTTGGCGGAAGAATGGGATGTCTGGTGAGATAGCTCATATTACAGGAAGATATCACTGCGAGTCAGACCCAATAGCATTAACATTTGATGGAACAACAAGTAATGGAAGCCCAGCTATTATTGGGTTTATTACTTCATATGCAGCTTCCAAGTGGAGCAATAAATCAGTAMGTTTTAGCTCACAAATCTAGGATTCCTTCAATAAAACAATATAAATTGTTATGTATATTTAAGGAAAGAATAAAATTGAATGTTATGCCTTGTAAACATAATATTGTATAATTCACCTCATTCTTTTGGCATCTGGTCATGTCAAGCACCAGCTTGGCAGATYAGCCGCAATGCCAAGAGAAAACACATTTATATRCGTGGAGCTGATGACTGGGCTCTATAAGCCATGTGCAGCAGAGCTGAGGCTTTCCTACAAGCTGTGTATAGTGTAGTGGTCATGCGTCATCATTATAACAAAACCAAGTATGATGTTTTCATTTTCTATTTATTAAAGGAAGAGAAGAAGAAGGATGCTATTATCAAGTCTCTTGCAAGATACTTGGGTTCTGATGCTGAAAATCCATTGGACTGTGCTGTTAAGGTATGACAATAGTACTTACAATAGTAGGTTTTCTTTTTATAGTAAAAAGTCTGCCGAGTGACAATCATATCTGATAATTTTTAGTTTTGTTATTTACAGGATTGGTCAGAGGAAGAATGGAATGGTGGATGTCCAGTAGATGTCATGGTTCCTGGTGCTTTTACCAACTACGGCAATTGCCTAAAAGAACCATTTCAAAGGTCAGATAAATGTCTCCCTATGACAAGATTCAAGAGCCAAAATTTTGTCGAATACTCGAGTTTCGAGATCTTATTTGTGCAGCCTTAACCCGAAAGCATGTAGTATATTCTTTTATTCAGCAGAGATCCTATTGTAATGCAAACAATGTGTGTATGCTAAGACATTATAAACAATTTATGCTTGATTGAAGCTAAGCTTGCACAAAAGAGAATTCGAAACTGGAGTATTATGAAACCAAATAAGAACGCTGTTGGAATATACATATTCATTAATTAAAATTGCATTTTGTAATATCATTTGTTGTTTTTAGGATACATTGGGCAGGAACTGAGACATCTGATGTCCATCGTGGTTATATCAGTGGAGGTGTGCATGCTGGTTACAGAGCTGCCAGGGAGGTCATTACAAGACTTCAGACAAATAAGTAATGCCTTTTGCAGGCAACTCCTTCCACAATGGCTTTAGGCCATGTAAAGATGTCTGTTATCTCCTCATTGCCTCAGTTCCCCTGAAGAAAAAAGTGAAATAGATGATATAAAATAATTCAGTAAATTTCTAGACTTAATTATTATATGAATTATGATGAGTTTAAAGTACAGTCATATTGAATAAGCGTTCTCAAATAATATTTTTTGATGGTTTCCATTTACTTCAAACCTATGTACATGTATTATAACCTCCTTTTAGCATTTTTCTTTCCTTTCTAAAAAAAAATAACAGGCTTCCTGTTTTAGATCGGTAAGAGAGCAGGATGCCTCCAGAGGATGCAGAGGAGGCTACATATGATATATTGTTAATTATAATAACAATGGGGGCAAAATGAAATGAAAGTTTATTTACGCTCACTTGCTGTGGCTATATGATTTTACTGATATATATTACCTCATCACTGGTGGTGTGAGTAGCGTTTGGAATACATACATCAGTCTGATCTGTACAGACCTTACGCAGTCGTGGCTCCTCGTGAATTTTAAATGAATAAATAGGCTTAATATTATAATATTATATATTATAAATAATATTTTATGCAAAATGCAAATTGTTAGCATAAAACAAAGTATAATGATGTAGAAGATATATGCACAATCTTGTAGCCCTAGTCTTCATTTTTCTTGGCCAGCGCTGTCGACAAACATTACGTTTACATGTTTGACGTTGGTCAAGAAGTCTCAGGGTACGAGATTGATATATATGTTGTGACATTAATTTATAATAAGTTGCAATTTCAAAGTGTTACCACTCGACAGTGAAGTCATTAAACCTGTGAAACATAACCTTTCTATCAAAGTGTGATAGTCTCAACTAAAGTGTATTTAGTGCAATATCTATTGAACAGGTTTTTTTACTTCACTTCAATTTAAAGCATGCAACTGTACAAAATCTATAGAGTAATATTAATTTGCACTAAAAGTGGACCTGAAGCAAGACGGTATTAAATGCTTCATTTGTATCAATTCAATTCAATTTTTGTACCGCATGTATGATTTACTAAATACAACTAAATAGAACTATTTAGTTTGTACAGTTGCACGATTTAAGTGCGATCACTCTATTACCTATACTAACATCAGCTATTCTATAAGAATTGAAACAAATACTGACAGTACCCCAGATGTACAATCAATTCTTTAATATAATCAATGTTTGCCAGTTTTATACCATACAGGAATAAGATTAATTTTATTCAAACAAAAAAAAAAGTCTACAAAACACTTGCAAGTACTACTAGAATGTCTCTTCTACGTTTACTTAAAAAAGTGTTTTTAAACTGCATAATATTTATCTTAAATGTTTCCAATGAGGTACAACCAAGCTATAAACTATCTAATTGTACATTCTTTAACTGAATCATGCACACAAAATGAAGTTTTATGATAAATATTGTATCTGGAGCTTTGGTCAAAAGAAAAATGCAAAAGAAATATTAAGTAAACATTTATTTTTTTTAATTGAACACAAACATTTGTAATTTTTTAATTGGGAAGTATGTTGGGTAATAGTTGAGTTTTCCCCATCAACAATAAATACAATGTTTTTCTCAGTAAGAAAGCTTGGTCTACTAGGAAGGTTGCATGGTTACGTGCACCATCTTGAAAGGTACATCGAAGCGTGACAACCAAGATGGCGCAGGGAMCCRTGAAGAAGACTATTGTATTTTTATTGTATCATCTCCTATTTTGTTAATAAAATAAGATTGCTTATCATTCTTATCTGAGTTTTTGTGCTTCATTGGTAACAGAGGTACTACATGTAGTAGTGTCAAAAATACACAACCTTTACTACAATACTAAAGGTTACATTTATTCTCTCTAAACACATAAGTTACTTCCAGTTATTTGTTTAGCTGATAAATTAAGCTCTGTACATCAAAATGACTGGTTCGTGTATTAATCAAGATGACCCAACAGGTCACATATTGTCCAATTATGTTTGTGTACATGTAGCTAAATGCCGATGCGCAGACCAGTGCGCAGGCTAGTGTTGTTAGAGGTGATAGCCAGAGGATTCTATTTCCCAGAGAAACTCTTCACGTAACCATTCAATGTTGCACATTCATGATGACACTATAAATACATGTACCATGTTGATCCAAACAGTCTCAAGTCTTATCAAATTCTTTCATACAAACGTCCAACATTGGTTTGAGAAGGATTTACAATTGAGACAGGTTTACTTCCACAGTTTCTTGACAGACATATTCTTTTCAGAGTCTTTTTGCATAACCTATAAACACAAACAAGTATTATTAGGATTTGGTCTAGACAGTGTAATATCATTACTGCAACCAGATCATTCTCAGTTTCCCAACAAAAAAACGAAGACTCTGGTTTTAGACGATACCGGAAGACACAGTATCTGGGTTGTATGGTTATGGTATGATGTATGGGAATTGTCTAACCAATCAAATCAAAGCATCATTTCTTTCCAACAAGAGTCTTGGATTTTAAGTTAGGAAACTGAGGAGGATTTGTAGAGTGCACGTCACATAAGCATGAAACAATTCTTAATATGTATTGCTAAATAAGATTTAGTTATCAACTAACTAAGAATTCAACAAAGCATAAACACAATGCCAATTATTTAAATTGTTTTGTAGCATTGTTCTCAATTCTTAGTTAGTTGATAACTAAATCTTATTTAGCACTACGTAGTTAAGAATTGTTTCATGCTTATAAGCATGTGACTTAACTCTATACAAGAATGGCCTTCTATAATCAAGTAAGTAATTTACCTTTGTGACAGCCATTTCAAAGTCTTCTTGTGTGACATGAACACGTCTTTCTCTTAATGCATACATACCAGCTTCTGTACATACACCCTGTTAATTATCAAACAATTATTATCAAAAGTGTTAAAGCAATAAAAATCATGTTTTAACATTGCCCAACAACACCCGTGATACCTTGATTTCAGCCCCTGATGCACCAGGCATAAGCTCGGCTATTTTCTTTAGATTAATTCCTCTTGTTAGGTTCATTTTTCTTGAGTGGATTTTCAAGATATCTTGCCGAGCCTGATCAAGTTGCAAAAGAAAAATAGTGTTATATAATAAAATGTAATTTAATTTTCAATTTTTCTACTTTCTGTGAAAAGCATAAAATCCATGAATACTGTGTTTAGCAAAGTGAAAACTTGACAAAAGTGGTTTATAAATAATTACTTGTGTATTGATGAAGTCGTATAGTTTAATTTGCTAATATTAACAGAGGCCAGCAATGGATCTTGCATAAAACACTTTTGAGTACCGTACATTTAATACATGCTAAAGTTCTGAACCTGACTTATGTAACTTATACAAATCCTTTTAGGAACATGAAGTCTAAATATAAAACTAGTCATTTCTAATAGAAAGTGAATGCTGCAAGTACAATGTAGCTATTTCATTTTCGCAATATACATGTATAACAGATGTAAGGTCACATCAGAGTTGCAGTGGTTTGATGCAACTTGTCACATAACGCAAAATTCCTTAGGCAGTATATTTTTTTTTTTTTTTCAAGCTACCTGTTTTGCAAATTCCAATCTGCAATTGCGAAACTATGAACACATAAAAGAACACTGTCTTCCCCTTGAAACTGATGAATACTTTCACGAATAAATAAACATGACCTTGACATGTACTAAATAGTATTAAAAAAATGACTCAATCCAAACACAAGCCAAACTCGTACAACTGCAGACCGTGTGTATGGCGTGTTCTGTTATGGACATCCTTGAATTGACACTGTATTCCGAATAGAAGGCTACTTGCTTTGCTCACAACAATAAAATTTAAATATACAATGATCCAAATATGACTACACATGTACCTCTTCATTTGGTGGAGGGAATTCAATTTTCCTGTCAATCCGTCCGGGCCTGAGTAAAGCAGAGTCAAGGATATCGATTCTGTTAGTTGCCATAATAACTTTGATATCCTTAGTAGCTTCAAATCCATCCAACTGATTTAGTAACTCCAACATTGTCCTCTGTACTTCACTGTCACCTACAACGGCATACAGTTGAATTATTGTACAATAACTTATGAAAATAAAAATATTTCATTTAGACAAAAAACCGTATGCATAGAAATAATGGATAAAAGATATAATGTGAAAATAGCTCCTGCAGCTGTTTTTATAGTTTGTAGTTACAGGTGAGGTTGATTGTTAAGATTGTT